ACCCCATAAATATTTACAATTATTATGTGTCTATTAAAAATAATAGGCTGGGGCCGGGCACAGTGGCTCATGCCTGTAATCCCATCACTTTGGGTGGCCGAGGCGGGTGGATCACCTGAAGTCAGGAGTTTGAGACCAGCCTGGCCAACATGGTGAAACCCCATTTCTATTAAAAAAAAATACAAAAATTAGCTGGGCATGGTGGTGTGCACCTGTCATTCCAGCTACTCGGGAGGCTGAGGCAGGAGAATTGCTTGAACCCAGGAGGTGCAGTTTGCAGTGAGCTGAGATCGCGCCACTGCACTCCAGCCTGGGTGACAGAGCAAGACTCTGTCTCAATAGTAATAATAATAATAATAATAATAATAATAATAGGCCGGGTGTAGTAGCTCACACCTGTAATCCCAGCACTTTGGGAGGCCAAGATGGGAGGATCTCTTGAGGTCATGAGTTCGAGACCAGCCTGGCCAACATGGTGAAACCCCATCTCTACCAAAAATACAAAAATGAGCTGGGCATGGTGGGACGTGCCTGTAATCCCAGCTACTTGTGAGGCTGAGGCATGAGAAATCACTTGAACCCAGGAGGCAGAGGTTGTAGTGAGCCGAGACTGTGCCACTGCACTCCAGCCTGGGTGACAGAGAGAAAACCTGTCTTAAATACAATACAATACAATACAATACAATACAATACAATACAATACAATACAATACAATACAATAATAAAAGCAAAAAGAGGAATGTTTGTCCTTGAAATTATTACTTTAGCAAAGAAGGCTCATAAAACCTTCAAATGACACCTGTAGTTATAATTGAGAATATGTTGTCCCTGAAATTATGTTGCAAATGACATCTCTGAAACTCTAAGCGCTGTAAATAAGGATTTTGAACCCCTGGCCTCAAGCAATCCTCCCATCTTGGCCTACCAAAGTGCTGGGATTACAGGTGTGAGCCACTGCGCCCGGCTGTGGATTTCAGTCCCAGCCTTGCCCCTCTGAGGCAGTGTAGTCATCGGAAGTTGCTTCGCCTTTTTGTTTCAGTTTCCTCAAGTGCAAATGAGGACAACGAAAGGCAGTTTTGTGTCACCTCAGACGTGGTCCTAAATGGGCCCACTGGGATGGTTCCCATTTTTTAAAGTCAGAGCATCGATCTCTAAAGGTCTGCCCCTAGGTTGGGGTCAGATATGTCAGAGCTGTCCTGCCTGTCAGGCCCTGTTCTCCAACTGCCACTAAGAGTACAGCAGAAATAGGAACACTGAGACCAGCAGTCCCAGACTCAAGGTGAAGTGAGTGCACCTCTCTTCCGTCTCCCTCTTGCTCTTCCTCCCTCTGCGTTGACTCCATCTCTCCCTCCTCTGTATCCATCTTACCTTCTCAATCTCGTTTTCTCTCTGCTTCTGTTTTTCTTTTGTCCCTGTTATCCCTGTCTTGTGTCTTTATCAATGTGTCTTTCCCCTTCTTTTTTTTTTCGGATGGAGTCTCACTCCGGCTCCCAGGCTGAAGAGCAGTGGCGCCATCTCGGCTCATTACAACCTCCACCTCCTGGGTTCAAGCAATTCTGTCTCAGCCTCCTGAGTATGTGGGACTACAGGCATCTGCCACCACGCCCGGCTAATTTTTGTATTTTTAGTAGAGACGGGGTTTCACCTTGTTGGTCAGGCTGGTCTCGAACTCCTGACCACAGGTGATCCACCCACCTCGGCCTCCCAAAGTGCTGGGATTACAGGCATGAGCCACCACGCCCAGCTTCTTGGTATCTTTCTCTGCATCTCTGTCTCTCCTTTGATCTCTCTGTAAACTCTGGCTTCTCTTTCTATGTCTTTCTCCCTATTCTTCTCTGTCTCTTTGATTCCCCCATGTCTGTCTCTTTCTCCCTGATCTGTCAGGGTCTGTCCCTGAGGAAGTGAGTAAAGTGATCCCACACCTGTCAGGGCTGGACCCCCTTGCTCTTCTTTGATCCCACCCACCTCCTTAACCCCCTAGCCCACCGACTATTTCCCTTCTCCCCATGCAGACAGGTGGGTGGCAAACTCAAGGGCCACCGGGGTCACACTGTGAAAGCACCAGCCAGGGAGACTAAAGCAGAAAAATGAGGATGTGAAGCTGAGAGAACAAGACAGATAGAGGCAGAGACTAAGGGCTTAGGCACGGAGGAAGCAGGAAGAAACAGGAGGAGGAACCTGAGGCAGAGTCGCTGAAGTCCTTGCTGGAAGCAGATGGGATTAAATTAGAGAGGAGACTGGGAGAGTGCCAGAGAGACACCAAGAGGATGCAGGTGAGGCATCTGTCCCCTGAGGCCCCGCAGCTACGGTGTAGGTGGGTGGCAGCCGGAGGAGGCCTGGCCTGAAGCCAGCTCACAGGTCACCCGCTCCTCACTGTCTCCCGTGTTTGCCTGCGTCTGATGCAGTATTCCCCTCTACCTGCCTGCGTTTCTGACCCTCACGCAGCTTCTTCTGTTTCTTAGTGTCTCTCCCCTTCTCTTTGTCTCTCTTTTCATTGATCTCTTGCGTGTCTGCCTCCATCTCTTTCCACCTGTCTCTTCTACCTCCCTACGTGCATGTCTGTTTCTATTTCTCTCTCTCTCTCATCTCTCCATCCCCTGTCCTCCCTTTTTGTCTCTGTAGTCTCTTCTCGTCGAAACAACCGAGGGTCTCACCTCGCATTCCCTTCTTTTAGGAACAGAGGCTGCCGGCCCCGGGCCCAGGTCGGTCAGTGGGCGGGGCCTCAGGGCTCGCCCCAGCCGCGCCCCAGCTCGCGAGCCACGAATGACCCAGGGCACCCCAGCCCCAGCTCGAGGTCTGCTGAGGCCGGGTGACGCCGTTGACGCCAGGCCTCCACGGAGTCCCCCTTCCCCCGGCACCGTCCCCAGCCGCCCTACGACTCTCACGCGAGGCCCCTAGCCTCGGTTTCCCAGCCCGCTCCCTGGCTTCTAAACGTGGCTCCGGCCCCCCAGCCCCGCCCCAGCCAGCGGCCGGAGGAGCCCGGGCAGAGGAGGCCCCGAACGTAGCCGTAAGCGGGCAAGCCACCCGGGCCGAGGTCGCGCAGAAGGACCGCTCCTGGGCCCCGCGGGTGGGTCCGGCCGTCCCCAGCCTGGAGACTGCGCGGCGGGAGCCGCGCGCGGGAGAGGGGCGGGGCCCGGCGGTGGGTCCAGAGGCGGCCGAGGACGGGAGCCTGCGGGTCTTGGGGAGCATGGAGGGGTGCGGCCTCGGAGGAGCCGGGTGGTTGTAGGAAGGAGGTGGGGCCCGCCGCGGCCTCAGGGGACGGTGCTGAGCGATAGGACCAGGGCGGTGCCGAGGGGCAGGGCCGGAAACCCCGGGAAAGTGGAGTCCCCAGGACTCTCGGAAGGGAAGGGCCTCCAGGAGCCACTCTCCAGGGGCGGCGCTAGATCGACGCAGGTGAAGGCCGGCAGGGGGCAGGGCCGGCCCGAGAATCCAGAAGGGGCGGGACACAAGGAACACCCTGGGTCTGACTGGCGCTCCGGTCTCAAAGATGCAAGCCTGGTGCTGCCGCCGCGGTGCTTGTGGAGATGAGGGTTCCAGGCCGAAGCCCGGGCCCCGCGCTGCCCTCCCTGGTCCCTCAGTTGTGTGGCTGCGCCCTGCCCGGTACTGAGTCGCTCAAACAGGTGTTACAGCTGTCACCGCTGAGGACTCTTTGCATCCCCACGGACCAGTTTTGTAAGGGAGAAAGGGTGTTCCCACTGCCTTGTAATGGCTTGCAAGAAAGGGACGGTTTTCATGTCTCAAGGTCATTCGCCATTGGGACAGTTTGTGCAGAGGAAACCCTTGACTCCTCAGGAAGTTTTTGCGCCTCTCCGTGTCTTCTGCACCCCAGTGTAGGCAATGTTTGCCCCACCCATGTAGAGGTTTTCGCAGAAGTCAAGCTTGGGGGCGGGGGCGGGGCATGGGCATGTCCACTCAGAAAAATCTAGCTCCCCCACCCCAAAATAGAAACTCATTTCTGGTTATTTTGTGGTTATCCTTTAAAAACACTTGACCTGGCCGGGCGCAGTGGCTCATGCCTGTAATCCCAGCACTTTGGGAGGCCGAGGCGGGCAGTTCATCTGAGGTCAGGAGTTTGAGACCAGCCTGGCCAACATGGTAAAACTCCATCTCTACTGAAAATACAAAAATTGGCCGAGCGTGGTGGCTCACGCCTGTAATCCTAACACTTTGAGAGGCCAAGGTGGGCGGATCACTTGAGGTCAGGAGTTCGAAACCAGCCTGGCTAACATGGTGAAACCTCATCTCTACTAAAAATACAAAAGATTAGCTGGGCGTGGTGATGGACGCCTGTAATCCCAACTACTTGGGAGGCTGAAGCAGGAGAATCGCTTGAACCCAGGAGGTGGAGGTTGCAGTGAGCCAAGATCATGCCACTGCACTCCAGCCTGGGCAACAGAGCAAGACTCCTTCTCAAAACAACAAATAAAAACACTTGACCATACTGAGCAGAGGAGAGCAGAAAAGCAGTTCTATGGCAGAAGGGGAGGCTGATCCAGGGCACCTTCTTTGAGGGAGCTAGGTCTCCTGGCCCTCTTCTTCCATCCCAGATCTACCCTGAGGCCACATGGAGGGAGGGAAATCACCTTCACAAATGCTGTGCTGAGTGTCCAGAAAGAAGGGACTCCTGTGAGGCCACATTTCCCAGCCTCGGCGACAGGGGCTGTGGAGCAGGGGTCAGGGGTATTGGGGTGTGTGTAGGGGGATGGGGTCAGGGGTACAATGTCTAGAACCACCCCCGCCCCCAGCAATCCTGGTGTTTATTCACTTCTTTCCCAAGCTTGTTCCTCTGACAGCTAGGACCCATCACCCAGCCCCAGACAACCTTATTCATGTCGCTAATTCACATCTTCATTCTCCCTTCCTGCTCATCCAGCCCACAGACATTTACTAGAGCCCATCTGCTGTGGGCCTCCAAGTCCTAGGGCTTCCAAGTCCCTGAAGCAGGCTCTGCCCCTTGTCCTAAGGAGGGGCCCCATAGGCAATTCAAGGAGTCCACACATAGGCATTTCAAAACAGACTTTAAATACTCATCAGGGTGCCACACAAAGGAGCTGGGGTGAGAACTTCGTACATGTGAGTGTGGGGCTGGGGTGCCCTGAGAGAGAAAAAGGGGACCCATCTTTCAGGGCAGCTGGGGTGCCCCACCCCCACCCTGGGACTAGGGAGCAGAGTAGAAGCCCTCTCTGGAGGGTCCCAGGGCTAACTGGGAGCCAGCCCTCCCTTCGAGGTAGATCATCGGGGAGGGAACCGAGAAGCAGCTCCCATGGTGGCAGTGGCTTCCTCAGTGGTACTGCTGATAGCTGGGATAGCCTGGGGCTGGGGTGCCGTCCTTAGGGGGCAGCTGGCTGGGGTCCTCCAGGAATGGGGGCGCTGGAGAAGGGAGACTCGGGTAAGGATGGGTGGAAGAGGCCAGGTGGAGGATTTCCCACTCCCCCGACCACCAGTTACTCACCATTTCGGAACTGCTGGGCCGTGTAGCGAGTGAGGAGGATGCCAACGCCCTCAATGAGGGCCAACAGGATGCCCCCCATCATCGCTGAGCCCACCATGGCCAGTGGGCCACCTGGGGGAGTTGGAGGCAGAGAAACAGAGGTGAGGGCAGGCAGAACAGGGTGGAAGGGGCTGGGGCCAGGGCCGGGGGTACTCACTGCGGGCAGCCAGTACAGCCCCGGTCAACGCTCCACTGGTGATAGAGTTCCAGGGATCCTCCTTGCCCCGAAGCCGCACCAGGCCACAGTCGATGGTGGAGAACAGGCCCCCCCACACTGCGAAGCTACCTGTAGTGGAACCGAGGCCTAATTAGTTCGTAGGAAATCCCGAGAATTCACATCTCAGGGGACTTCCAAGGCCTGAATGCTTTGGCCAAGAACAGGGAGAAAAACCCAGACACAAAGGCAGATAGCAACCCCCCATAGAGTATTTTCTATCTGTCCCCATCCTGTGGTAGCTCCCACTTCAAGCTGTCTGTGATCACCATCAACGTTCCCTTCACCTTTATGGGGAGCTGACAAATGTTTACAAGCAGATTTACCTTCATATGGCTTTTAACAGAGCAACTTTGAGCTTCATAATCACCACAGAGTTGGAATTCTGATTTGGGTTTCAGTGAGAAGGAAATAGGAAACCCAGTTAATATGATAGTTAAAATGTTTACTGAGGGCTTACTGTGTGCCAGGACCTGTTTGAGGTACTGTGTTATTTGACTTTTGCAATTTTATATTAGTTAATGTTATTAAAGTGTTTAGCATAGCAACCAGCACTTAGTAGTATATAAATTACATAAACTTTAAAACTACCAATGAAGTGGTTACTGTTATCACCACCCCTGGTACGGGTGAGGTTCAGAGAGGTTAAGCCACTAGCCCAAGGTCCCACGGCAGGGAATAGTCAGGACCTAGATTCAAATTCCAGAACCCACTTTCTTCCCCTCCATATTCAATTGTTGGGAAACATCACCCCTCTGGAAAGTCTCCCGCAGGGGCTAGAATCTGAACCCCCAACTTGCAGCCTAGACCCAAAGGATCAACCACTCCCACCTTTGCCAAGACATCTCCTATATCTATCTCCCCAAGTCCCTCACCTCCAATCTGGGGGGCTCGGATCCTCACAGCGTTGGTACTACCTCTCAACCGGTGCCGAATTCCCTGGGGAAAGGAAGGAAGTCCGTCAGGGCAGGGCTGAAGCCACTGGCAGACAGGTTTCCAACTTTTAAGAGAGGGAAAAAGATGGGAGACCTGTTAGAGGTATCAGCAGTAGAAATGTGGAAAAGTGGCCAAGAACTAGGGTCCTGGAGAGCGCCCCAACATGGGTGTTCTCAGAGGTGGGTTGAGAAGTGCTAACGCATTCATACGTTTGTTCATTCATTCATTCAGTGAATGATTAACAAGTACCTACTATATGTGCCAAGCACCATGCCATATGCAGAGATACAGCCATGAACAAGGTAGATCTGCTCCCTGCCCTCTCAGAGCTCACATTAACAGTGGGAGACACAGACCTTGAGCAAGGATAAGTAAACAAGGGCGCTTCAGCAATCTGCACTCTAGAGGAAATGCCATGAAGAAATATGATTGGGGCTGAGGGGTCAGGAAAGGCCTCTTGAAGGAGAGAGAATCTGTGCTGAGACCTTGATGATGACAAACTTGGGCAAAGATCCAGGGAGGAGAGTTCCAGGAGTCTAGGGGAGGGACGGGGCTACATATATAAATTGCAGAGACTTTGGCTAATAGATGGCATTTAAAGTCACGGCATTTGCGATCTTCTGGGAGGGGAGGTGGTCAGAGAAAAAGAACTATGTTAAAAAAATTCTCTCAACTTTAAGGCTGTCTTCCCTCTGCCAATTAAATTCCTGCCATTTTCCTCTATACAGGTTTCTGAGTCAGAATCTGCCTCTAGGTAAAATGTGTCTGGTCCTGGTGCAGTGGCTCACACCTGTAATCCCAGCACTTTGGGAGGCTGAGGTGGGTGGATCACTTGAGTTCAGGAATTAGAGACCAGCCTAAGCAACATGTTGAAACCCAGTCTCTACAAATAAATAAATAAATAAACAAATAGTTAGCCAGGCATGGTGGCGCAGTCATGTGGTCCTAGCTACTTGGGAGGCTGAGGTGGGAGGATCACTTGAGCCTGGGAGGCAGAGGCTGTAGTGACCCCTGATTAGGCTACTGCACACCAGCCTGGGCAACAGGGCAAGATGATGTCTCAAAAAAAACCACAAAAAACAAAACAAAACAAAACAAAAAACATTGGCCAGGCATGGTGGCACACGCCTGTAATCCCAGCACTTTGGGAGGCCGAGGTAGGTGGATCAGCTGAGGTCCAGAGTTGGAGACCAGACTGGCCACCATAGTGAAACCCCAACTCTACTAAAAGTACAAAAATTCGCCAGGTCTAGTGGTACTTGCCTGTAGTCCCAGCTACTCGGGAGGCTGAGACAGGAGAATCGCCTGAACCCGGGAGGCAGAGGTTGCAGGGAGCCAAGATCATGCCACTGCACTCTAGCCTGGGCAACAGAGCAAGACTCTGTCTCAAAAAAAAAAAAAAAATCTGTCTGGCTTTGCACATATATTTAAGATTTGGTGATGACTCTTTGAACGACACAGCATTTCCACAGAGGAGCTCCATTTGGGTGGGGTGGAGGGTGGAAGACAGAAGCCATGTTTGCAATCCCTACAAAATCCCAGATACAGAAGCCAGGCTTGGCACACAGTAGGTGAGTGGCCACCAGAATGAATAAGTGCACGTGACTGGCAGCTCCAAGCAGTTTTCGGAGCAGCATCCCTTGTGGGCAAGACAGCTGACCCCACATCAACCCAGAGAAGGTCTGGACTCACAACAGGGGCATTGCGGAAACCCTTGATGGCCTGGAAGACTCCGCCACCGATGACACCCATAGTGAAGGCTCCACCGCAATCATCCACAATTCGCCATGGGCTGCAAGCAGGAAGGGAAGGATGGGGTTAATGTGAGCCCTCCCCCAGGCCCTGTCACACGAACTCTTTTCTAATTGGGAGAAACCAAGTCACCAGAATGGGAAGTTCCTAAGGAGAAACAAACACTTCAGATAATAAGGAGCTAATCCTGTCACGCTTTTTCCACAGCTCCCCCCCATTAAAGCGAGAAATGGGGCAAAGGGGGAGAAATATTAGTCTTCGCCCTGTCTATCAACCAAGGAATCAGCCAACTGTTTTACTGTGATCAAAGATTAAATGAATTGGCACACGCAGAGTTGACGTTTCAATAAGCGACGTAGGCGTGTTAACTAGCCAAGACAGATTGTCAGCAAAGCAGGACCGCGTGGCACCCCTTCTCCGACGGTGTGCCCGTCCAACCATGCCCCGCCCCTTTTCAATCCGGCGCAACTGGGAAAAACCAAGAGCGACCGCGGGAAGCATCCACCGTCCCCGCCGGCCCTCAGCAGGTTCATCCGTACCCCGCCCCCACTGACAAAGGCGACCTGGGAAAAACCACCCGCGGCAACTCGGGATTTCCGGTCAACACTGTACCACCCCTAGCCAGGATGGATCGGCCAGCGTGTCTTTTTTCGTTAACAGGGACTAGGAGATTACGAGGTCAGGAGAAACATGGCGTGGTTCGGCCTTCGCCGCACCTTCTGAGGGGAGACGGTTGTGGCCCCTCATAACGGAGCCCGAGTGACAGGAACCGAGTAGGGGTAGCGGGAGATACGTTAAGAGTCCCCCGAGTCTGGTACATGGCTCTGTGCGGCCGGTGCCTCCCCCGCCCGACCCCCACGGCTGGCCTTGGCGTCGCAGCAACAGTCCGGATGCCAGTGCCCATCGCCGTACCAAGGTTCCCGAGCGTACTCCTCCATGGCGCTGGCGTCTGGCCGCGCAGTCAGGCCACGCCCCCAGCGTAGACGCACACCGGCGTCCAAGCTTTCCGCCTATTACCGGACAGCGATTGGGTCGCTACGCCGCATGTCACTCCAAGGGCACACTCTCATTGGCCAATCGAGTTTCTGCCATTTGTTCATTGCCTCCTGAGCGTAGTCCAGTTACTTTCAGGCTCGGGGAGTGAAGGCCTCATTCAGAGAAGGTCTCATTCTGTGTTTTGGGAAGAGAGTCGTGTGGGCCCAGGTATCGTAGCGGCGACACGAGAGAGACGGCCGGTGTGACAGCCGTCCACTACCTGCACGAGTGTATTGGTAATGTTGGGGTGGGCGTACTCTTTTGGAGCTGGAGGAAGTGCTGCCCTCTGCTCCCCCATCCCAGCGCTTTGGTTTCTCCCACCCGGCAGTCTTTGGGGGACGCTGGATGAGCCCATTTCTGAAGTGCGGAGGGGCCGGGCTCCTTAGGCGGGCGGAGCCTGGGCCTGGGAGAGGAACAGGGCCCTGGAGCACCCGGTTTCGGGACAGTAGGGTTGGTGAGAATTGCGATAATATTGCCACCTAACTCTTACATCTTTTAGTGCGTATGTTCTGTCCACCCAACTACTGGTTCATTTGAGTAGATGGGAGTCAGATGAGTACATGTTGACGGGAGGGGCTTGGTGACGGGATCCAGATATGAATCTATCTGAGCTGCTTGTCAGTTTGTCCGTCTGCCCCTAGGTCTATCAGCTATGCCTCTGCCCGTTGCGCTGCAGACCCGCTTGGCCAAGAGAGGCATCCTCAAACATCTGGAGCCTGGTGAGTCGGCTAAAAGCAGATGGTCCTAACACGTGCCAGCCTCGACAGGCACTTTTGTTGTTGATACTGACTATCGTGGGCCAACTGCACCAAGCAATGGGGTGGCAGGCATTTTTCATTGTTAACGATATGGATTCCTGACATCCATCTCTACCGCGTGTCAAGTGGAGCGGGTTGGGGGAATAGATATTTCATTCTTTTTTTTTTTTTTGAGGCGGAGTCTCACTCTGCACCCAGGCTGGAGTGCAGTGGCGCGATCTCGGCTCACTTTGACCTCCGCCTTCCGGGTTCAAGCGATTCTCCTGCCTTAGCCTCCCGAGTAGTTGGGACTACGGGCACGCTTCACCACACCTGGTGAATTTTTTTTTTTTTTTTTTTTTGAGGCAGAGTCTCGCTCTGTCGCCCAGGCTGAAATGCTGTGGTGCTTCACCACACCTGGCGAATTTTTTTTTTTTTTTGGAGACAGAGTCTCGCTCTGTCGCCCAGGCTGGAGTGCTGTGGCGTGATCTCGTCTCACTGCAACCTCCGCCTCCGGGTTCAAGCGATTTTCCTGCCTCAGCCTCCCGAGTAGTTGGGATTACAGGCACGTGCCACCACCCCCAGCTGATTTTTGTAGTTTTAGTAGAGACGGGTTTCACCATGTTGGCCAGGCTGGCCTCTTAACTCCTGACCTCAGGTGATCCACTCCCACCCTCGGCCTCCCAAAAGGTTGGGATTACAGGTGTAAGCCACTGTGCCCGGCTATTTCATTCTTAACAATACTGACTGGCTGGGCGTGGCGGCTCATGCCAGTATTCCCAGCACTTTAGGAGGCTGAGGCGGGTGTATTGCTTGAGCTTAGGGATTGGAGATTAGCCTGAGCAACATGGCGAAACCCCTTCTCTACAAAAAATACAAAAATTAGCCGTGTGTTGTGGTACATGCCTGTAGTCCCAGCTACTTAGGAGGCTGAGGTGAGAGGATCGCTTGAGCCTGGGATGTCGAGGGTGCAGTGAGCCGAGATTGTGCCACTGCACTCCAGCCTGGGCAACACATGGAGACCCTGTCTCAAAAATATCCAAAAAAACCCAAAATAATACTGACCACCTAATGCCTATTTGGGGCCTACTGTATGCCACGTTAAATCCATGGATTATGGGGGTGATGACATAGTATTTTTTTTTTTTTTTTTTTTGAGACAGAGTCTCGCTCTGTCACCCAGGCTGGAGTGCAGTGGCCGGATCTCAGCTCACTGCAAGCTCCGCCTCCCGGGTTCACGCCATTCTCCCGCCTCAGCCTCCCGAGTAGCTGGGACTACAGGCACCCGCCACCTCGCCCGGCTAGTTTTTTGTATTTCTTAATAGAGACGGGGTTTCACCGTGTTAGCCAGGATGGTCTCGATCTCCTGACCTCGTGATCCGCCCGTCTCGGCCTCCCAAAGTGCTGGGATTACAGGCTTGAGCCACCGCGCCCGGCCTGATGACATAGTATCTAATAGGAAGTACTGCTAACCTCTACTGCTATCTCCTGTGTGCCAAATGTAGTTGCAGTGAGGATCTATCATTTAGGCCTACTGTGCTGTGGCTGCAAATCACACCTTATTGTCAGTAATACTAAAAACTGGCATCTATTTGGGGCTATGGTGTGCCAGGCACTGGAAAATGCATCTTCTCCTTATTGATAACTGACATCTATTACAAGCCTACTGTGTGCAAGGTATAGACCTTGTGGTTAATAAAATTGACAGTGATCCCAGGCTGGGTGCGGTGGCTCACGCCTGTAATCTCAGCACTTTGGGAGGCCGAGGTGGGTGGATCACGAGGTCAGGAGATCGAGACCATCCTGGCTAACAGGGTGAAACCCCATTTCTAATAAAAATACAAAAAAATTAGCCGGGCATGGTGCTGGGTGCCTGTAGTCCCAGCTACTCGGGAGGCTGAGGCAGTAGCATGGTGTGAACTCGGAAGGCAGAGCTTGTAATTAGCCGAGATCACGCCACTACACTCCAGCCTGGGCAACAGAGCGAGACTCCATCTCAAAAAAATAAAATAAAATAAAATTGGCAATGATCATTGATTTACTTTTTTTTTTTTTGAGGCAGAGTCTTGCTCTGTCACCTAGGCTGGAATGCAGTGGCATGATCTTGGCCCACTCTCCACCTCCCAGGTTCAAGCGATTCTCCTGCCTCAGCCTCCCAGGTAGCTGGGACCACAGGCGTGCACCACTGTGCCTGGCTAATTTTTGTATTTTTTAGTAGAGACAGGGTTTCACCATGTTGACCAGGCTGGATTTTCTTTTAAGCCTATTGAGTGACCTGTGCCTATGGTATATATATTATTTATTATTTGTTTAGGGACAGGGTCTCACTCTGTTGCCCAGGCTGGAGTGCAGTGGCACGATAACAGCTCACTGCAAGCTCAAACTCCTGGGCTCAAATGATCCTCCTGCCTCAGCCTCCTGAGTAGTTGGGACTACAGACGTGTGCCACTGTGCCCAGCTAATTTTTTTTTTTTGTAGAGACAGGTCTCACTATGTTAACCAGGCTAGTCTCAGAGATGGGGTTTCACCATCTTGGCCAGGCTAGTCTTGAACTCCTGACCTCGTGATCCACCCACCTTGGCCTCCTAAAGCGCTGGGATTACAGGCATGAGCTGAGCCACCACGCCCGGCCAAGATGAGTAAATTTTTTGATGAATCCCTATCAACTCTGAAACGAGATAGCTTTGGCTAACAGTAGAACTCATCATCTGAACCCAGAAACAGAATTAGGTAACCTTTTTTTGTAAACCTCCTAATACAGAGAGTTGGATTTGGAATGTGAAAGGTACTGCATATGCTTCCTGGCACACACACACGTCGTTTACGTGTGGCTTGTGTGAATGTGAGTGCGTGTCTCTAGGCTCTGTAGGATGAGGACACCCCTGGTCCTTAACTGCTCTCCTCGTCCCCACCTTGTTCTGCCAGAACCAGAGGAAGAGATCATTGCCGAGGACTATGACGATGATCCTGTGGACTATGAGGCCACCAGGTTGGAGGGCCTACCACCTAGCTGGTACAAGGTTTTCGACCCTTCCTGGTGAGCCTGGGTGAGGGGGGACTAACTTCTGACTTCACCCTTCCTGTGCTTACCTTGGTTGTGAGGTATAGGGGGACACAAGGGAGGGAGCCTCGGGTGGAGGGTGTTGGTGTTAGGTATCTGCAGGACCCAAGTTGCTGCCTGCTGGGGCCCGGCGCCTCTGGGGTTGGAAGACTGTCTTTTCTCTCTCTTTTTTGAGATGGAGTTTCGCTCTTGTTGCCCAGGCTGGAGTACAATGGTGCGATCTCGGCTCACTGCAACCTCTGCCTCCTGGGTTCAAGCAATTCTCCTGTCTCAGCCTCCCAAGTAGCTGGGATTACAGGTGCGCACCACCACACCCGGCTAATTTTTGTATTTTTTTGTAGAGACGAGGTTTCATCATATTGGTCAGGCTGGTCCCGAACTCCTGACCTCAGGTGATCCGCCTGCCTCGGCCTCCCAAAGTGCTGGGATTACAGGCATGAGCCACCACGCCTGGCTGACAGTGTTTTCTCTTCGGGAGAAGAGATTCTGGGGATTCCTACCTGTGGGGTCCTGACATGGGGCAGGTATAGGCAGAGACTGGGGAGACGAGTTGAGGATCCAAGGCAAAGACATCTGTGCTGACACTTCTCTTGTCCTGCGGCCCCACAGTGGGCTCCCTTACTACTGGAATGCGGACACAGACCTCGTATCCTGGCTTTCCCCACATGACCCCAACTCTGTGGTTACCAAATCGGCCAAGAAGCTCAGAAGCAGTAATGCAGGTGAGTTGGCAGGTACAAGAGTGCCTTGAGTGATCTAAGCAGTTCTCACAGAGAGGCCAAGTAGAATGATAGTGGATCAGAGGGGCAGGTGAGACCAGGTGGGCCCAGCCTCAGGCAGGCGAGGTTGTTGAAGGCAGAGGCTCCTGGGTCCTTGGGTGGCAAGAGGTCACTTCAAGACTTGTGTCCCCAGATGCTGAAGAAAAGTTGGACCGGAGCCATGACAAGTCGGACAGGGGCCATGACAAGTCGGACCGCGGCCATGAGAAACCAGACAGGGGCCACGACAAGTCAGACCGGGGCCACGACAAATCTGACAGGGATCGAGAGCGTGGCTATGACAAGGTAGACAGAGAGAGAGAGCGAGACAGGGAACGGGATCGGGACCGCGGGTATGACAAGGCAGACCGGGAAGAGGGCAAAGAACGGCGCCACCATCGCCGGGAGGAGCTGGCTCCCTACCCCAAGAGCAAGAAGGGTAAGCTGGGCAGAATGGGGCTCGGTGAGACCAGCAAGGTGCAGGGCACACTGCGTGAGGAAGCCTTCCCTCAAAAAGATGCCTAGACCTGGGGCCTAGAGGAGGGTGCTGTGGTACATGGCAGCCAGGGGCTTCATTTCTTCTTGTGGGGTGGGGCTCAGTGATCAGGGGCTCCTGGTGCCTCTATTGAAGACTTTGCCCTGCCACTTCCACAGCAGTAAGTCGAAAGGATGAAGAGTTAGACCCCATGGACCCTAGCTCATACTCAGATGCCCCCCGGTAAGTGACAACCCCTCTTGACTCAGT